TTAATGTCACCTTTTGCAGCAACGTTCCATGAATGATGTGAAAGGTTTCATTTTTTACAACGATTATTGACCATTGTTAAAACGTATCTCTATAGCAACTTTTATTGTCTGTTATTGAAAATATTAATATATAGTCGTTTGCAACGTTAACTAAAAGCTGCAAAAAGTTCATCTTTTGCACCGTTTTTTGGAAAGTTACAAAAAGTTTCATTTTTTATAGTGTTTATTGACTTTTGTTACAATTTAGTTCTATAACAACGTTCAGTGTTTATTTCTAAAACTTTTAATATATAGCCTTGTGTAACGTTTCTTCACTGTTGCGAAAAGTTTCACTTTAGCAGCATTTAGCAACAGCTAAATAGGCAATGCACGTTGCTAAAAATGTGTTTTACATTATTATTTGCCTGTGCAATAAAAGGTTCAACCCCAATTTAATTTCAACAAGCCTTGCTTATTAATTAAAAAACATTAAATATATTAAATTACAAAAACTCTACAATTATGTTCATGCTTCTAATAAAATCGTCTCACCTCGGACCTTAACCCTCAGATCATTTTGCACCGTCGGCGAACTCCCAGTCATCAAGCTCCAGCAACGCCTCTAAACATTGATTGGAGATGTGTCAAAGCCTCAAAGTTAACGTCCTTGCGGTACCCTTAGAGAAACACAATAAAATGTTGTGAAAGCACCTTCGTGTAGTCAGTAGTCTGCTCATCCGAAGAAGATGCGCCGTAAAAGTAGCCACTAGAATATCTCGACGGCAACTTCATTTGACGACAAATAATCTCTCTCACATAATATCTGCTATTTTATACTCTATTTAATTTCTATGGAAAATCCAAATCCCAATCGTTCCACTGAGGTAATTTTCAATTATATTGTACTGTATTTAATTTGTTTATTGGGCTTCTTGAATCCAATTTAGACTATTTAAATATTGAATTTATTTGGGGATTTCATTCCATTTGGTGGGCTTCATAATTGATTGATTTTGCGGGTGTGAAAAAAAGGCTGTGCAACCTCCAAGTGTTTGAGTGTCAATCCTTTGTCTCGGTCCCAAGGTAAATGTGCTGGTTGCAACTTTGTGGGATAATCAGGTCATTTCTTGCTTCAATTGATTTTTCATCCTTTTTTTCTACCTTTTTAATCAATGTAATTTCTATTTGCTAATTGGGACTTTTATTTTGACCTTATCTAAGAAAATGATAGGAAAAATTGTCATTATGGTTTAATTGTTGGGAGATATTTTCGATGGTGCTTGATGAGTTTGTTTCACTCATGAACGTTTTGAGTGCAGAACGTTTTTGATGGGTTTGTTAGTGTTGTTTTGAAGATTAGGAAAGGTGATGCAAAAAGAGGTATTAAAGTGGACGAAGAAAAAAATAAAAAAATTGGAGCAGAAAGGCAGCGCCCAACGCTTGTAGCGTCAAGCGCTACGAAATGTGAAAAAACGAAGAATTGGAGCAGAGAATGAGTAGCGCTCAGGAGCTACGTGTGATTTGTCGCGGCGCTTAAGCGCTGACCCCTAATGCTTAAATGTCGGGGTCGTCTAGGGCACATTTTTGGACCGTCTTAAAGTCCATAAAAACCCTACTTTCTACACAAACGAGGGGCCACCTATAAATACAAAATTCTCACATTTTGGAGGGGAATTTTTTCACGCTTTGAGAGGCAAGAGAATACAACTGAAAAATCAAAAGAAGTATTCATAGGAGGAAAACATCAAGCAATTAAAAGTTTACGCATTAATTGGAAAAGGAAGAAGATCTTGGTTGCAAGAATTCTACTTTTTCATATACATCTTTATTACAAATTCGGTGATGTATTCTAAGACAATTGATTGTTTTTTTCTTTCATTATGAATAGTTAAATTCATTGTTAGGGAGAATATTGTAACCAATTGGGATCCTTTATATTTTCTTATTAAGATTCTTGATTTTTATTGTTTCATGTGTTGATTTTACTATGAAGTGAATGCATTAAATTACTTGATCAATAATTTGATGATTTTGTGAATTCTTTACGAATAGAGATAGGAGTTTAGAATTTAGACCATATAGTAAAATTCAGTAAATTGGTATAACGAGTAGAGATACATAAGCTAATTATTGTGGTCATAATTGAATTCATAGGACGAAGAACTTGTTTAACTAAGTGGATTTGAATAGAGATATGTAATTTAATTAGTTAAATATGCTCAATGAGAACTCCAGATGGGTATATTGAATACAATAGGAGAATTCAACCGAACACTACATTGGATAAAAATCTTGATTTGAGATGTAAAGGTGATCAATAGGTGAAGTTATTCTACCCTAAAGTCCTTCCATAATTTGATTTTCAACCCAATAGTGTGTGCATTCATTAACTTTATCACCTTTAGATATAAAAAATCAAATCCTACAAGTTTTTGTTTCAATCAAATGGCGGTTAAAGAAAAATTGAATTAAGTGTTAGAATATAGTCCTTGTGGGATCGAGAATTCGGACTCTTAGGTCCACTATTATTTGTTACGGTCCATATACTTGCGAAAATAAAATTGACAATAGTGCTAGTATGTGATATTACCTTGCATTTGTGACATGACCTATTCACGCCTCAAATTTGTATTTGTGAAATTTTAATTCAAGTTTGAGTGGAAAAGTTTATAACTTAAATGTCATGGCTACAAATCTATGCCTATATGGATTGTCTAAGTTTTATTTGTAGGAAATAAAAGTGGTTACAAATTAGTGAAATCAATTAGCTGTTGACATACCTGCTCTGATACATTTGTTTGGGAATTCTTCTTTGGTGTGATGTTGGGAGATAATTAAAACTGGAACTACACTCACTCAGTAATTAGTAGTTGGAACTTCTTAGTTTTTGTTGTTATATAAGTTCAATTCCTTTAGGTTGTTGATCCTTTCATTGCCCCTGATGGTGAGGCCTTAAGTGCATATGCAATTGAATGATAATTCACGTGTCATTCTCATTTTAAGGTAAACTAAATGTCTGGACTATGTTTTGTATTATACTATCTATAGTACAACTTTGTCACAACAAGAGATTTCCTCTCTCCCACTTAGTGCCATAGTATCTCTGCCAGTTGAACTTCAATTCTCATTATTTTCTTTTACTTGTCCACTATTGACTTAAGATCTCTACGATTTCAATCTCAAAACATTGTTCTCCTCATGGTACTAGGAATCGTAAACTCAGACTAAACTAATCAGTATCTGTTTGCTCTCTTTTAGCCTTTTCAATACATGATATTTATCTGTAAGTTTAATAGTTTCTTAGCTCAGGGAATTAAATTCAAATTTTCTCGTCCAGATATCAAACGACGAAGCTGTTGAAACTACTAAGCAATTAGCTCTTCAAGAGGGCATGCTAGTTAGTACTTTACGCTAGTGTTGCATAAATTTGTCAGATCACCCACATTAATATTGCATCTTTAGGTTGAGTACTTAACAGGTGGGTATTTCTTCTGGATCGACAACTGTTGCTGCCATGGAGGTTGGAAAGAGACATGAAAATTCAGAAAAGCTTATTGCGGTATGCTAATTTTTTTTCTTTTCATGTTGTTGATATCTCATATTAATCAAGTGAATTTATTCCGTATAATATGGCTTAGCATGAATTTAAACATAATCGTTGGACTCTGATAATCATAAGTTTTTGCATCTGTAAACTTTGAAGTAGTATGCAAGGTTGGCGTATGAGTTTCTATTTATCATAAAGCCTAGATTTTTCATTCTATAAAATTGTCATACTATATTAACTAGGGGTGAATTCAGGCATTAAATTTCAAAACTGTAAAAGTTGATCCGCTAATTACCTTCTCTCTCTCTTTTTTTATTTTTTTTTTTCATGAAAGTAATGACTTTCTCTTGCATTTGTCTCGGTTAACACCATTGTAATTAATAATGCAAGTACAGTGTAAAACCAACATAAGTTTAAAGCCTTCACTATCAAATTGGCATTTTCTTTCAATTTTTAATACTCGGGTTTTCAAATTATTATGTATGTTGATGTCTTATGCAGAAGTTGAAGCATCGTGTCATAAAGAAGAATATTAATCCTAAATGGAATGAGGATTTGACACTTGTAGTTGGAAAGTTCCGATTAATGTACTTTATTTATTTATTTATAACCAACATAAGTTTAAAGCCTTCACTATCAAATTGGCATTTTCTTTCAATTTTTAATACTCGGGTTTTCAAATTATTATGTATATTGATGTCTTATGCAGAAGTTGAAGCATCGTGTCATAAAGAAGAATATTAATCCTAAATGGAATGAGGATTTGACACTTGTAGTTGGAAAGTTCCGATTAATGTACTTTATTTATTTATTTATTTTTTGATAATTTAATTTTGTACATAAACTGTAGTTTTAAGTTATACAAGTAATTTTATTTTTTTTAAAAGTATAAGAAAAGGATTTGTGATGATGGAATTATTTTTATTGTTATTGCATAAATAAAACAGGTAAAAAAATATTGCAAAAAAGTTATTAGCAACATTCAAAAAACGTTGCAAAGTGGTTATTACAACATTGAAAAAAACCTTACAAAAAGATTATTAGTAACATTAAAAAATGTTGTCGTGTCCTTCTATTCAACAACAACATCAAGGTTTGCGACATACATCTGAACGTTATAAGAGGTTTTTGGCAATATCTTTTGAACATTGCAAAATGCTATTTTTGTTGTGGTGGTTGAACAATACTATATTCTGAGAAATAGTACAATAGAAAATCAACTTACAGGGTGTGGGAAATCGAAAGAAAACCAAACCATTCGTTGCTTATTACTATATTGAATACATGATTTCACACATGATTATAGGTTTGTTTAATGGTTATTATGAGAATTATTTTTTGACCGTTGGAGAGAAAAGTAAGTCTCACTTATGAGTAAAGATTTAAAAAATTACGGTTGGAATAGTGAAATAACAGTTTATAAATTGATTTTTTGGATGGAAAATTGCTACCAAACGGGAGCTATATATGACGGTTCATACATTTCACGTGTAGGCAGTAGGGCAGTTTTGAATTTTTGACATCCACGTAATTTGTCACTTTTTGAAATTCTATCACTTTTTGATTTTTTTTTTCTTAATAAAATTTCAAGCACTTTCTATTATGGGGTGTTGTGTTTCTAAAATGATGTTATGTCCTACGTTTAAGTATAGAAGTGAACTATAATTACAAAGAAATAACATGAAGAAAAATCAACCATCTTTGATTTTGATTGGTATTTTTCTTAACTTCTTCAAGTATTCGTCGCTTTTTCTTTTTTTTTTGGTTGAATTTTTGTCACTTTTTTTGACTTTCAATCACTTTTTTGAATTTTCGTCACTTTTTTGAATAATCGTCACTTTCAACTTATAGGTTGTTGTGTTTTTAAAATGAAGTCAGGTTTTAAGTTTAGTTATATAACAATGATATGTAGAAGAATATCAACCATCTCTGAATCTTAGAAAGTGTTTCTCACTTTGTTTCTCATTTTTTTTGAGTGTGTGTGAATATCTGTCACTTTATTAAATTACTTTCATATTTAATGCCACATAAACAAAGATCATTTAATATTTTTGAAGCAAGTTGTGTCACTTTATTAAATTGCTAAATGTAAATAAAGCTTTCATTGCAGAGAAAGTGACCTTGTTTTAATTTAAGAAAATTGACGTATAATGTAACTTTTAATAAAGCAATGTCACTTTTTAATAAAAAATGTGACACTTCACATAGTACTTTTTACTTACTAGAAAAACTTTTTATATAATTTTTCAAAAGATTTTTAATTTTAAGGGTATTTCTGTAAGTTCCCCAACTTTAATGATATCATATTTTGTTGAGTTCAAGGAGTTGTACGTGTGCATATATTAACAGTGTTCTAAAAGGCGTAATGCGTGGAGGTCAAGTTATGGATTAGGTGAGGTATAGACGTAATAAAGTGTAAAAAGACATTTTTTAATTTTTAATCAATCAAAAAATTATTTAATATTAAAAATAATACTTGTCAAATATCTAAAGTAACTTTATACATTTATTTCGAAATTTCCAACAAAATGTAAAGTTTCAAATGTGAATACTAAAAAGTAAATAAATATGAATTTTTGGAAGTTTTACTTTGTTCAAGGCTTCAAGTGGCTATTTTGAATTTAGGGCACGTGAAGTGAAGAAATTAGTTTTATTTTTAATTTTAAAGAATTGTAAAAAAAAGAATTTAAAAAGAAAAGATAATAATGGGTATCTAGGCGCGCATTAGCGGTCAATAATTATCGTTGACCGCTAAATAAGATGCCAAGTCAAGTGACTTGGCGTTTTCGCCGTGTATCTCGGTTTTCGCCACTATCTTGCCTAAGAGTCCCCTTTTAGAACACCGATATGTAATTAAGTGGCTTGGCGTTTTTGTCGCGCGTCCTTTTAGATAATCGATATATAATGCCCTTTAACTAAAGAATGATAAACTTGTAAGTCCCATTCAACAAATTATACAGGTAATATGTACATATATGTCAATTAAATCTTCTAACTTTCTTTTGGGAGTGACAAACTTATAAGTCTCAAAGAAAAACATCATATAAAAATCCAAAAGAAAAAAAAAAAATCCCCTAGCAATTCATTTCAGCTGCAAAATTGTCTGATTAATCAAATTCACTCTTAAACAAGGGGAAAAAATAGAGAAAAGAAAAGAAAAAACAAAAACAAAAAAAAACAAAAAAACAAAAACAAAACAAAAACAAAACAAAACAAAATAAAACAAACAAAGACCACTGCCTTCCAGGCGACTATACATACAGTACAGTATTTATTGACCATGCATGCATAACAAACTTAATTTTTTGGAAATATGCATAAGATTAATTAATTCAGATCACACCTTCTAAAACTGAGATAGAAATATCAAAACAACTTGAGTTAAAATACAAAGCATTCTTAAGTGGCAGATAAAATGGAAATAGGATTCATAGCACTTGATCATTAGTTCCTGGAGTCCAATGCCAAAATGGTACTGAGATTCATGGGATTCATGTATTTGTTGTCACCAGTCAAGATCTGTTGCACAATAATTCTGTTGGCTTTCTCAGATGGATGGAACGCATCCCAGAATGCATACAAATCTCTGTTTGGGCATAAGTTGGATAAAACGGTACACAGTCCAACCCCATTGTATGGCCCTTGTCCACAGCATGCTATTTTTGATGTAACAAATCCTGTCCAACCATATAAATATTAGTGTTCTGTTTTGAAAGAAATAAAATTAACTTTGGTGACTAGAGTTGTTTACTTGTTTTGATTTACATATTGAAACTTAAGTTGAATTTCTTTCTATAAGATGTTACTTAGGTTGATAATAAGCGAGTTGAATTAGGCCCTGTTTGGCACTCATTTTTATCAAAATGCATTTTTCTCTCTCTTCTTTTCAACAACACATTCTTTATTAAAATAATGTTACACGTAAATCAAAAACTTTTTCTTATTTTTCAACCACACATTTCCCATCAATTTACCATTCAAAAATTCATTTTCACATAAAAATTCCTACCAAACACCCTCTTAGTTTCAAATAAGTTATCTATTTTCGACTGTCGAGCAATGAAAAACATCTATATTTTACACTAAACTGGTCCAAAAGTTACCGTTTGGAATCTCTTGCTATAGACAAGAGAACCAAGTGGTCAAAATCAGACGTACTATGCTTTCCAGAGAATTATTATGGTTGAAGAACTTAAGAGAAGGATGAAAAGTAGTTGAAGCTTTAACTCTTTATATTCCCTTATGAGATTCTTCCCACCTCCGCCCCTCAAAAGAAAAATTCGTATAGTCCGACGCGCAAGTTAAAACAGTAGTAGATTATATACCGTAGGCCTGAGGATTTGTGATAAAGTCGGAGGTCATTTGCACTGTGTTAGCTCCAATAAAGACATCAGATCCAATTTCACTATTTAGACCGTTCAACATTTGAACCAGTTGTGGATTGAACAATGAAGAAGCCCTCTGTAACTCCACAGCACATTCACCAGTTCTGCTCCTTTGGGCCAATTCTGCTGGCACACAACCCATTGGTCCCGTTCCTGTCACAAGAACCCTTCTAGCACCCAATTCATAGAGCCTCTGCCATAATGTGAATGATTAATTTAATATTCACTTCCCAGAATTTGAAAGGGACGAGGGATGGGAGTGTACTAGTCAAAATATAACCATATAAATAGGATCTTTTTTTGTAATTCATGGACAGAAAAGTTTACAATTTATGTGAAAACATTACCATTAAAACCTTGCGATACTCAGAGATGAGGTAGCGGACATAATCAGGCAGAGAAAATTGTCGAGATCTAGCAGAAAACGGCACCAAGTAGTAGTTGTTGACAAAGTCATTGCCACCAAGAGTAATGAGCACAAGGGCTTCATTCACTAGCCTTTGAGTTTCTGCAGGTCCAATTAGCCCACTAACACGAGTCTGGTACTGTTGAAAGTACTCCAACTGTTTTCCAATTCTAATGATATTCAGCTGCCAAAAAAATTAATTCAGTGTCATATAATTTTCATTCATATAATGTTGAGCTATATTTTCAAGTTTAATGCTCTAACAGTCTAGCTGGATCCAGTATAAATGCGCCCCAGTACATATAATTGAAAATGACAATCAATTTTCTAATGTTTTTTCCCCAGATTTAAGAGAAAGATTTTAAATATGAAACTGACAGGTAATAATTGTTAAGGGAATATAATCCCACATCGGTAAAAAATCGAAATAATGACCAATATATAAAGAATTGGGACACTCCTCTTAACAAGGTTGACCTTATTAAGATGGACCCCAAGTCTTAACATGGTATCAGAGCCCATTAAGCTCCAACGAGCGATTCGATCCGATTAAGTCTTTAAAAATGAGCACACGGATTTCAAGATTGGTCTGCTCAAACGAGCCACCATCTTGCGGGGGCATGTTAAGGGAATATAATCCCACATCGGTAAAATACCGAAATAATGACCAATATATAAAGAATTGGGACACTCCTCTTAACAAGGTTGACCTTATTAAGATGGACCCCAAGTCTTAACAATAATAGCTAGAAAGTAAGTCTTTAGCACAATAATTTGGAGTTAGACTATATACATTTATTAAAAGATTTAGAGCAACTACATCCTTACTACATACGGGCCATGTTAGGTCAAGTGAGGTTCAACAAGAAAACGTAGAAATGGGAAACATTTAGGTACTGGGTTTCCACTAGGAGCAAAGAAAATAATTGAGATCATATTAAAGAGATGGAGTTATTTCTTTCAACCGGTGCTAGCTACTCAGTTTGCTCAGAATTGATATATAATGCAGAAAAGGATATTTCAAACTATCGTTAAAAGGAACTGAAGTAGATGAAATGAACATACAAACTGGAATCCAGTGTCGTTGAGGATTCCAACTCCAGCAGAAGCAAAGTTGGCGCCAACAAGAAGATTGTTTCCGCTCAGCAATGGATCCAAGTATGCCCTTGTTGGTTCCATTCCCATTCGCTCGCCTGGAAAATGCACATTTAATAACATGCGAAATGGACAAATACAATCCATCTCATCTAAAAGATTAAACTCTGTTCGAGATGACAAACTTTTTTATCAAATTTTGTGGGCCTGCACATACAGGTCAGATTATTTTTTTTAATAAAAGACCTTATATGTGTACAATTATCAGAAAAACTTGAACTTAGAACCCACATGTCATGCTATGTTGGACCCAAAAACCGGTGTCGAATAGAAACTTGTATGAATTTGACTATAATGTTAAAGTTGTAGAGTTTGGAATCCTACTGATAATATCTGGAATGTTGAGGCCATTAGAGAAGCGGCCGGTTGGACGGTGAGTGGGATAGTCGATGCCGTAAGGGGGTGAGTCTGCACGAGCACTGGTAGCTAGGTAGTTGTTGTTGCCATTGTCAACCAGTGAATCGCCAAACACGAAAAATGCACGTGCATCAGCTCGAGGTGCCGAGGCAGACAGTGCAAGAACAAGGCTGAAAGCTATCCATAATGCAGAAAAAGAAAAGGAGCAGCCCATTATATGGTGTAATGTGAAACCCTGGGAATATTTTCTTGGATTTACACACTTCTGCTCTGAGGAACTTAGCAATGTAAGATCATGGCCTTATATAAGCTCGAGGAGATTATTGAACTCCAATAAATGGAATGCTCTACCAAACCCTCAATGGAGAGAGAGAGAGAGAGAGAGAGAGGACCACATGGAAACATATTAGCAGTATTACAGCTATGAAGAATACTTGAAGTGGGAGTGGAGGATGTTTACTTTAGGCGATTCAAGAAATTTGAATAAAGAAAATGGAGGGCTGTATAGATTGTTATGGAAGCTGGATTATATTACTCATTTTTCCACCATTTTCTTTTCTTTATTGTTATTTACTGGCTACATTAATTGATTCTAAAATTTCATTATTTTTGCTCAATAATGCTATCACTTTCTTTGTGATAATTCGAGTTTGTTATTATTTTAGAAAGAGAGAGATCAGCACACTAAATTCAAATTTATCTTGTGCACGTCCTTCTTTATGCGAAAATCGTATTTACTTTTCATGATAAGTCTCGATGCATGTACATTTTCAATGACAATTGACTTAAATTAAAATATTTTATGTACTGTAAAACTTTTTAAAGTTAATTAAAAAACGAGACACATTTATTTATATAAAGTTTTCATGACATGCGTGATTATTGCACAAATAAATGTTTTGAATCATCAATAATCAACAATGTTTGTAGATTTAAAGCCAATTGAAATCCTGTTACATCAAAACAAATCCCATTGAGACAATCGGTTTGCTAGCGATAGCTAGCTTTATCAAGCCCGTTTCTTTCATTAGAATATTCAAAAAGTTCCCAACAAAACCATCAATGTATATGGGCACTGCCCCCTGGGGCATAACCCAGTGGTGCAAATGATAGGAGTGAGGTGATCTCACATTTTGCTGGTAATTGCAGTGTGGGAGTTCGATTCCTGAAATATGGAATTGGAATTCTTGTAGGTGCAGTGTACATGCAACTCTTGTTCCTGGCCTGATGGGGCACATCCCGCTATTTAATTCCCTTACAAAATTTTAGGGGCGGGACGATAGGGGCCTTCAAGGTTGGGGTTTAACCTTTTTTTTTTTTTTTTTGTATATGGGCATTAATGTAAACATTACATAAATGTTTCACCTTTTATTTCAACATCTTTCTATCATTATCAGCAAACCCTAATCTGAATAATGCATTAGATTTTATATCTCATTCAGTCTACATGTTTGCCCTCCATCAATTGATTGAAAGCAACCCATTTTTAAGAAAGCAATGTTTAGTACGATCAAATATTTGTGTTATAGAAAATGAATCATTCACATATATGTCTTGATTATTGAAGCATGTGGTGTCTTGATTATTGAAGCATGTGGTGTAAAAGATTAAGTTTTTATAAACACGGCCGTACGTGAAGGTCATATTTAGAGAACTAATATCCTTCGTTCTGATATTATTTGTTCTAAAACTTAAATCACTATTGAGTGATTAATTTATTTATTTGAAATTTGCATTCAAGATTAGTATTCACATTTAAGTATAAGATTTTCTGAAATTTGCATTCAAGATTAATTTCAATATATAAAAAATCTAATGAATTTCATGTTGCTCTAAAAAAATCATATTACTTGCTTTAAAAAAATAAAAAATAAAAAAAAAATTTGAGACGGCGTGGAGTTATAAGAAAGATGATAAAGGACCCCATGAATAAAGAAGCCATGTGGTGTAAGTAAATGGGGTGGGCCATTTTTGAGCTACTTCAGTTAGCCTGTAATCGCATTTTCTTGATTAGGGCGCATTTGGTTTGCATTAAAATCTAATTTTAATCAAAGTTAAAATCAAACAATCAATATTAACCACATTTTTCATGGATTTCACAACTTTTCAATCATGTATTTCAAAAACTTCTATCACAATCTGCTAAAAAATTTAATTTTAATTCTCCCAAACACCCTCTAAACTTTATTTGTTAATCGTATAGAATTTCGAGTTGCTCAATCATGTAGCTCTCCAAGTTGGGGATGGTATAGGGTGAGGTGTTTCTCATCATAAAAGGATTGTCACAATTTTTTTTTTTTTTTTTGGCTGTATTACATTCATGTACGATGATGCTTAAAAAATTACCAGATTTTCGACTCAACGAAAAATGGATTATTGCATTGGACCCGACTAGAGGTAATTTTGACTAAGCATCTATATGTTTGAAATGATAAGCAACATGATCTGAGCTGCAAACAATTCCTTACACCAGAAATATAAAACATATACTCTTTTATCACCTATAGCTCCAAATTTTCAGAATTATGTATATTTAGCCCGTGTTCGGTGCAAATGCAAATCTGAATTTTAATCAAAGTCAAAATTAATATTTAATTTTAACCACATATTTTATAGATTCCACATTTTTCAATTACATATTTCATTACAGGGTATTTAATTTCTACTCTAAGCGTCCATTTGATTGCAAGGATGGAATTTAGGTGGAAAGAAAATGACTTCCAAAAAATTTAATTGTCTTGAAATTGTTTTACTGGGAATTGTCAATTATTGTGTTTAATCGGTATACTTTTCATGTGAAAAATATTGAAATAAAAGCATTTTTGGTGTTCGTTTTAACTTTGTTTTACATGAAAATTGTCAATTAAAGGGATAGAATTTACTGGTATTTGAGATGAAATTTGTTTCCATTGCCAAAAATAAATAAAGCCAAGAAAGTATCTTTTGATATTCGTTTGATTTTGTTTTATATGAAAATTGTCAATTAAAGGAAAAAAAAATTTACAATTAGGGATAGAATTTGATTCCATTGCAAAAAAAAAAAAAAATGTGGAAGTTGAAATTTGAATTTTATTTTCCATTGAAAATAATGGCCTATCAAACATGCTCTTATTAAAAATTTAATTTTAATCTCCTTTTTAGACTTAAGTGGTCAACACGAGTGACAGAGATGACTTCTACAAGAAGACTTGACTTCTACAAAGACTTCACATAGGTAAAAATAAAGACAATGCCGGCATTGCGCCAGAAGGTGCAATGAATTAACATTTCTTATGTACGCACCAATTAAAATTCATTATTGAAAATTTGTTTTAATTGGAAATAATCCATAGTGTATCTAATTGTTCAGGCGCTTTAATTCGAAGCCACAACCTTGAATGACATCACAACCGTTCATGCTACACTCATGAAGTACAAAATTCCTGCAATTTAGGGATTAAAGTACAGCATCAACTACAATTTTGTTGTTGAAAATATTTTTAGAATGGCACCTCATTCGAATCAGAAAAAGTCTACATGCACATAATTATTGCACATATTGTCGTTCATAATGTAATATGACAATCATTCGATTGTTGATGTGAAAATGTGATATTTAAATTGAAAATTGGCTATAGTGTCGCATGTAATTATGAACACCATTATGTAGACAATTATGTACATATGGCATTTCCCTTCAAATCAACATTTAGTTTTAATAAACCGAAGGTCGGTTAGTTAGCTTTTTAGGTTTTGAGTCAGATTCATCACTACATTTATTAGAACGTCCCATGCAGCTAGAACAACCTTTTTATCATTATGCTCGATTCATCGCCACTATATATATTTAGTTGAATATTTAATAAAACCATGTTCAAATAATTGAACTAGACCGCGATTAATGCAATCAAGGGTAGGGACAACCACAATCTTGAAATCAATCTCAAAGTTGTTGAACCACTTTATTTATAATCTTAAATTGTTAAAGAAAACACATCAAAGTATTTAAATTTAACCTTCCACCTCTTCTTACATATTGGATAAATTCATTTTTTATTAAATGCTTACAATTTTGTTAATGGGGGATACAATAATTCGGTATATTTCTCTATTTTCGGTATATTTCTCTATTCTTATACTGTGTAGAACAATTCTCATCTAAAAGCTTAAGAATTAAAAATAAGATGCATTACTGGTACAAGACAAAGGACAACACGTGACCTACACAACGCCGACAATCAGAGTGACCTTTTTAACATGAAAGCAATGGAACACAACTATTTAAAAGCGTACTAGAAAGAAAATGAAGCGTTTTAGGATTGATGATCGTGTGTCTACTTTACCAATATGCAATTTTTGGATTCTTTGTTTGATTATGTTTTATATGCGACACAATAACACGAAAACATCGACCATATAAAATACCCATCTTTTTCCCAAAATGCCAAGATTTGTTCGTATTGAAAATAAAAGGTAAGTTAAAATTTAGAATATAGTATAGAATTAACATGATCACCTATCAATGATAATACAGTATTGGAAACTAAATATCTAAAGAAATTAGTTTTATATTTAATGTTTGATAGAGAGATGATGAAAACTGAGACAAATCTAAAACTTCTACATAAACTAATCAAAGTGGTCCAACAATGTGAACCATTGTATTGATTCTAAAGAAATCCCTATAACCTCAAATTATTAATAATTATGAAACCCTAATTTCAATAAAGTGAATAAAAAAAAAAAGTTTGAAGAAGGTCGCGATCAAGGGCTTAAGGTCAAACCGTGTTCCATCTTCATCAATAGAAATATATATAGATTTAGCCTCTCATGGGGTGGCCGAGTTGGTAGAGTGGGTGAACGCGGAGACTTTTGATCACGAATTCGATTCCCCCTATCAACACTTTTTCGATTGAGTCTGTCATATCGAACTTGCCTAGTGCGGTTTACTTAACTGGTGTGATTTGCAGGCTATTGCATCAACACGAGAGTTTACCCAGTCCCCACCCGAAGGGTAACGGATGCGGGTTCTCCCATCATAAAATATATATATATATATATATATATATATATATATATATATATTCCATGATATTTATGTCTAATAATAATATAATAACATTTAAGTTTATGGCAGTCATTATTTATTATATAGGATATTACTGTTTCTGATGGTAAGAAATCATGGGGAGGGAAAAAAAAAAGTCATACAGAGACAAACCGCGAGCACATTTAATTGGCCATCAAATAAATGAATGCATGCAGTGGAGGTTTGTTGATCATTTATACAGGAAATTAAATAGACTGGAAAAGTAGTTAG